CTAAGCCACAGGGCCGGCCCAAAGATTTTATTTATTTTTTCCCCCCAAAGCCCCAGTAGATAGTTGTATGTCATAGCTGCACATCCTTCTAGTTGCTGAATGTGGGACGCGGCCTCAGCATGGCCGGAGAAGCGGTGTGTCGGTGCGCACCCGGGATCCGAACCCGGGCCGCCAGCAGCGGAGCGCACGCACTTAACTGCTAAGCCGGCCCTACACTGTCTTGATTACTGTGTCTTTATACTACTTTTTAAAATGAGGAAGTATAAATTCCAATTTTGTTCTTCTCTTTAAAAATTATTTTGGCTTTTCTAGATCCTTTGTATTTCCATGTACATTTTTGGATCATCTTATTAATTTCTGAAAAAAAAATCTACTGGAATTTTGATAGGTATTGTGTTGAATATATGTATCAATTTAGGGAAAATTATGTTAACAATTTTGAGCCTTCTAAGCTGTGATCATGGAAAGTTTTCTCCATTTATTTAGATCTTCTATAATTTTTCTCAGCAGTGTTTAGTGGTTTTCAGTGTATAAGTCTTAGACTTTTGTTAGATTTATTCCTACTTATTTTAATTTTGATTCTGAGTGGAATTATTTTTTTAATCTACTTTTCAGATTGTGTTAGACTAATTGAGTTTTGTATATTGATCATGTATCCTGTGAACTTGCAAAAATTATTTTTTGCACTGTTTTCTCTTGTTTGTTTATTCTTGGTATTTTCTAGATACAGGATCACATCTTCTTCATGTGAAGGTTGTTATACTTCTTTTCTCCGACCTGGATGGATGCCTTTTATTTCTTGTCTTATTGTACTGGGTAGAACTCCATGTTGAATAGAATTACTGGGAGTAGGATGTTAGCTATAGAATTTTTGTAGATAATCCTTTATCAGGTTGAGGAAGTCTTCTTCTATTCCTAGTTTTTGAGAGTTTTTATAATAAAGGCGTATTGGATTTTGTCACGTTTTTTTCCGTGTCTGTTGAGATGACCATGTGGTTTTTGTTCTTTATTCTACCAATGTAGTATATCACATTAGTTGTGTTTCAGACTTTAAGCCAACCTTTCATTCCCGGGATAAATCTGACTGGGTCATGACGTTTAGTCCTTTTTATGTGCTGCTGGATTCTGTTTGCTAATATTTTGGTAAAGATTTTTGTATCTGTGTTTTGCAGGGATATTAGTCTCTAGTTTTTTTGGGGGGGTGCAGGGTGGATTATCTGCCTGACTTTGGTATCAGGACCATAGAATGAATTGGAAAGTGTTCCCTCTTCCTCTATTTTCCGAAAGAATTTGTTAAGATTGGTGTTATTTCTTCTTTAAATATTTGATAGCATTCATCAGTGTAGCTGTGTAGGCCTTAGCTTTTCTTTGTGAGAAAATTTTTAATAACTAATTCAGTTTCTAATTATGGGTCTATTTAGGTTTTCTGTTTCTTTTTGACTTAGTTTTGTTAATTTGTGTCCTAAGAATTTGTCCATTTCATCTAAGTTGTCTAATTGGTTGATATGAGTATTTCCTCATAATCCTTTTAATTTTTGAAGGAGCAATAGTGATCTAAATAATTTTTTGATTATGATAATTTGTATCTTGTCTCTTTTTCTTGGTGTTTTAGGTAAAGGTTTAACAATTTGGGGATGTTTTCAAAGAAACCAACTTTTAACTTCATTGGTTTTTTTCTCTATTTTGTTTTCTATTTCATTTATTTCTACTCTCATCTTTATTATTGCTTTCCTTTGCTTTTCATTTAATTTTCTTGTTTTTGTTTTCTTGTTTTTTTTTTTTAAATTTTATTTATTTATTTATTTTTCCCCCGAAGCCCCAGTATGTTTTTGTTTTCTTAAGGTGGAAGCCTAGGTATTGATTTAAGACCTTTTTTGCTTTTCCTAATATAGATGTTTAAAGGTATAGGTTTCCCTCTATCCACTGCTTTAACTGCATCCCATAAATGTTGATATCTTGTGTTTTGTTTTTATTCAATTTCACCTATTTTCTGATTTCTCTTGTGATTTCTTCTGTGATGCAGAGATTTTTTTGGCAGTCTGTTGTTTAATTTCCAAATATTTAGGTATTTCCCAAATGATTTGTAATTTTATTTTTGTCTTAGAGAACATGCTTTAAATGAATTTATTGTTCCTTGTTGTATGGTCTAGTATATTTTCTATCCTGGAAAATGTTCCATGCACACTTGAAAAGAATATTTTTTCTGCTTTTG